AGCCCAACGCGGGGCTCGAGCCCACGAACCGTGAGATCATGACCTGAGCTGAAGTCAGACGCTCAACTGACTGAGCCACCCAGGCGCCCCAAAAATAAAATCTTTAAAAACACACACACACACACACACAAAATAAATAAAGTGAGGGAGTCAAGGAAGGCCTCCTAGAGCAGGTGAGAGCTGATCTGAGACCTGGATAAAAAGGAGGGGCCAGCCCTGCAGAAATGTGGCGTGGCAGCCTTGCAGTAGGCGCATCAGCAGAGGCAGAGGCTGCGATCAGGTCTGGCTTCACCGAGAACCAGAAGGAAGGCCTGGAAGGCTGGGAGAGTTGCAGGGAAGGGTATTTCAGCGCGGCTTGCAGATGGATTGGGCGTAAAGCTGACTGTTCTAGAACCTTCCTCAAATCATGACTGTGTTTCTTCCCTGCGCCAGGCCTAATTAGGGATCTTTTCAAATAAGCCAGGAGGCGTGAGTGGAGAATAAGAGAGGTAGAGCCACCAAAGGATCTGTGACTTTTATCCAGGGCGGCCTTAACGCCTGGTCCTCGTAAGATTAGCTCCTTCCTGGCCTTCCTTGGAGCAGAAATTATTGGCAAAGGGAGAGGCCACCGGAAATGCTGCTCTTGGACCTGATCTGGTCTGTTCTGTGGGCAGGTTGCTCCTTGCTGCTTATGGGGCGGGCAGGAGCAAGCTGGTGCCAGTCTCGGACGCAGATTTCCAGCCAGCGTTCCACTTTCGCTGTGTTGTTGCAGTTCACTCGCGTCCCCTCTTTTCCACTGAGGAAGAAAGATACGATTTATGTGATTGTTGCTAGGGAGTTTCAGACCCATAAGGAGGTCGAGCGTTGGGGATTTCCAGAGACTCCTAGAGCTTGGGCTCAAGGGAGGGTAGTGTGGCGTCCTTTACCACGATGGATGTTGGAAAGCTGGGGAGGGTTGAGGCAGAAAGGCAAGAGATCTGCTCTGGGCACGCAAAGTTCCAGAGGCCTGGGCAGTGGGTGGAGGTGGGGGCCAGATCGAGATTCCCGGTCCAAGCTAGAGAGGAGCACGGGGGTGCAGGTGGCCTTTGACCCTGGAAGTGGATGACCCCACTGGTAGGGAGACTGTTCAGAAAGGAGGCCCTGGGGCTCCTGGGTGGCCCAGTCAGTTAAGCGCCCGACTTCGACTTAGGTCATGATCTCAGTTTGTGAGTTCGGGCCCCGCGTCGGGCTCCGTGCTGACAGCTCAGAGCCTGGAGCCTGCTTCAGATTCTGTGTCTCCCTCTCCCTCTGCCCCTCCCCTGCTTCACTCTATCCCTCTCTCTCTCTCAAAAATGAATAAACATTAAAAAATTTTAAAAAAGAAGCCCTGGGGGATCCCCACATTTGGAGGTCAGGTGAAGGCCAGAACCCAGCCAAGAAGGTGTAGGAGGCTTGGCGGATGAGTCAGCAGCTGGTCCAGGAAGCCAAGAGGTGTTCCGGAGACGGGGGAGGGGCACAGGCTAGGGAAGGGCCAAGTCAGAGGAGCATGGCCAGCCCCTGGGGTTGGCCACAGGGAGTGACAGTTGAGACCCAGTAGGTGGGTGAGAGGGTCGGCCAGTCAGAATATGGCTGCTGCATCAGGAAGCAGAGAGCAGCCTAGGAAATGTGCACCCTTCCAAAGCTTCCCTCGTCCCTTCTCTCGTAAGAGGCAAGGAGATGCCAGATGGTTATGATGCCCATTTTCCATCTCTGGAAACTGAGGCTCAGGAGCTTAAGAACTCACTAGGGTCCCACCCAGTGAGCTACAGAGTCAGGGAGGTGGCTGGAGGCCAGGGCCAAGGGCAGGGGCTGGAACCGGAGTGGTTACCCTCGTCACTTTGGCGAGAACCTGATGGGTTAGAGCAGGTGGGATCCTGAGGCCAGAAGTGCCCCCCCCCAGACCTCACCCCTGTCCTCTGGGTGACTCTCCACAGCAGAACCGATGCCTGGCCTGACCTGGGCTGGGCCAAGCTGGACACCCCAGCCCAGCAGTGTCCCCACAGAGGCTCAGGGAGGAGGGGTCCCAAAATATAGCAACGGTTTCAGGCTCATGCCTGGTGACAGGCCTGTGCTGAGGGGTCTCCAACCGTGTCTCCTGGGCACGGTACTGTCCCCTCTGCAGATGGCTTTGAGAACAAAGAGGCAAGATCATGAGCTTGGCGGGGCTCACACCCCAAGTTCCTCTTTTTTTAAAAAATTTTTTTAAGTTTATTTATTTATTTTGAGAGAGACAGAGACAGCGTGAGTAGGGCAGGGACGGGAGGGTAGGGGAAGAGAATCCCAAGCAGGCTCCACACTGTCAGCTCAGAGCCCGAGGCGGGGCTTGAACTCACGACCCATGAGATCATGACCTGAGCTGAAGTCAGACGCTTCACCGACTGAGCCCCCCAGGCGCCCCCCTCAGTCCCCCTTATACGCAGGTCTTTCTCTGCCGGCCTCTCCTCCAGTGGCCTTAGGCTTCTTCGCAGTTTCCTCATCTGAAAAAGGTAACAATGCGAGCACCCCATCCGTCGCCGAGAGGACTAGGCGAGAAAGCTCTGTGCGCATCACAGTGCCTGAAACAGACCAGCCCTTCGGTAAACGGTACCTGCTATCGCTGTATCTGTTATCATTACTGCTATTATATATTCATCTCTCTCCATCTCAATTAATTAAGTTTGCTCCTTGGGCTCATCCAGATGTTTATAATTTCCCCCAGTGAGCATGAGGGTGCCCCTGCCCTTCTTGCCTCCAGGCCAGAGTAGAAGAGTGTCAAGGCCAGGGACCCTCTCTCCCACCCTGGCCATCAGCATCCCTGCCCCATTGTGCTGGGGTCCCCTGGGCCGGAGGCTGTGGCTCCAGGATTGCAGAGACTGAGGTACTAACAGTAAGGGTGACAAGCTGGAACATTTACTGAGCACTTACTCTGTTCCAGGGACTCCAGTGGGGAGTGTCAGCCACTGGCCTGCCCCTGCTCAGGTCCTGCTCTGTGCCAGCTTCTCAGACCTTCTCAGACCTTCCCAGGGGGGCTGGCCACCCCTGGATCGTGGACAGCTGCCAAATGGGGGGGGGCTGGGAGGGCAGGGCTCCTGGCAGATCTGGCGCCCCATGTTGTGGGCATTGCCTCAGACCTCCCCAGAGAGGTCTCAGTGGGTCCTGGGCGGTGGCCCCCCTCAGCCTCTGATCCCCAGGACCCCAGCACTCACTGGGCCTTGGTTACAGGGTGAATAATTCAGGCCACTGAGTGTCGGTCATGAAATATTAAGCAGGCTGTTACTGTCACATCAGTATGTGAATGTGGGGGGGTGACGATGGCACTGGGGCGTGGAGGCTGGTGGCCACAAGCCAGCGTGTTCCTGGGGAGAGGCGTGTGGATGAGTCTGTCACCGTGTGCCCTGTCGGCTCATGAGCACCATTCCCCCAACACGGGTCTGGTAACGGAGGGCAGCCAGCGCGGTCTGCGTCCCACCCCAAGTGTGTAAATGCCACGCTCTGCGTCAGCCCTAGAAAATGGCAGCTCTGTGTCTAGGGAGGAGGTGCCCGTGTTGGGATAAGGAGAGAGCAGGGAGGCGCCCAGTGGGGGGCTCCAGGTGGCCTGGGGTCAGGGGTCAGGGACGTGGACAGGGACCAGGGTTTTAGGGACGGGGAGAAGTCAGCTGGGGGGCTCCAAGGAGTGTGTGAAGGAAAGGGACCGTCATGTCAGAGGTGACTGGGCAGATAGAGGAGGACTGGGTGGCCTGGTGCCCGTGTTGATGGACAGCCGGGAAAGCACTTAGATGAGGGAGGGACATGTGGAGTGTGTGACTGACGTTGCCCGCAGATAGACTGGGGAGGCAGACGGTGGGAAGAGGTGAAGTCGGTGAGTGCCTGGGGCACAGAGGGCTGACCCAGCACAGGGGGGCACAGCCCCCACCCAGAGCTTCTGAGACTAGCCAGGGAGCTGGTGGGCACGCAGGTCCTGTCTGCTCCTGGATTGTGGCTCCGCCTAGTGTCCAACTCTGGTAACTGAGTCCTGGGCTGTCCCCAGCCATTATGAAGTCAGCAAAACAGACTCCGTCAGTGGCAGGGCCAGCTTCCCTGTTTCCCAGCAGCGCTCCACCACGTGGGGTTGATTCCCAGATCCCCAGCGCCTCAACTGCCCCTCTGCAAAATGGGACCTACGTTAGGGCATTCAGTGAGAACCTGCCCACCGATAGCATAGCACACCAGAGGGGCTCGGTGAATGGTGGCCGCCCGCAGAGGCGGCAGACTGACAACAGGATATCCAGTCTAACTTTAGTGTAGATACATGACAAATAATGTTTTAGTATAAGTGTGTCCCGTGCTTTGTTTGGGATATACTTATACTAGAAGATGATTTCTCATCTACCTGAAATTCAGAATTAGCAGGGCATCTTGTGTTTTATCTGGCAACCCTACTCCTCTGCCCTCTGGGAATTCAGTCTTACAGGGGAGGCAGATGCCAAAGTCAGTTATGTTCAATCGAGCATGACAGGCGGTCCAGGGAGTGAGCCCAGGGCCATACAGGGCACAGAGGTAGGAAAGGCGGGCTCTGCCTGGGGAAATCAGGGCAGGCCTCATTGAGGAGGGGTCCAGACTGAGTCCTAGGGAGGAGGAAGGAAGGGCATTCCGGATAGAGAGGGACCCGATCAAAGGCATAAAGTTTAGACAGAAGGTTGGGGACTTGAGGGCTCACAGTGACAATGGCTCAGTGTGGCCAAAAAGGTAAGGAGAGGCCAGCTCACCACATCCTTGTAGACCTTGGTGAAGAGGTTGGGCTGTTTACTGAGGAGGGGCGCTAACTCCGTCCGATGTACACTGCAGAAGGGAGGCCGCTGAAGGGAGTGGCCAGGCCAGAGGGAGGCTGGCACGGGACCAAGTGTCCAGAGGGAGTCAGGTATAGCGGGACCGGGTAACCCACTCTCGCAGCCCTCCAGAGCTCCCCTAAAGAGCTCGAGGGGCGTAAGAGGGCTTTGGAGGGAGGTGGGCGCTGAGAGCCCACGGTGGGTGCTGTGTCTCCGCAGGGGAGTGAATGCCCAAACAAAGAACGGTGCCACGCCCCTGTACCTGGCGTGCCAGGAGGGCCACCTGGAGGTGACGCAGTACCTGGTGCAGGAGTGCGGCGCGGACCCGCACCTGAGCGCCCAGGACGGCATGACCCCGCTGCACGCCGCGGCGCAGATGGGCCACTGCCCGGTCATCGTGTGGCTGGTGAGCTCGGGGGCGGGGCGGGGCCCGGGAAAGGGCGGGGTCTGCTCGCGGAGCAGCCGGCAGCGACGGGGGCGGGGCCTGGAGGGGCCCGGCGCCCAGCCCCCGCCCGTCTTTTCCCCGCCCCCTCCCGCCCAGGTGAGCTGCACCGACGTGAGCCTGTCGGAGCAGGACAATGACGGCGCCACGGCCATGCACTTCGCGGCCAGCCGCGGCCACGCCAAAGTGCTCAGCTGGCTCCTGCTGCACGGCGGCGAGATCTCGGCCGACCTGTGGGGCGGGACCCCTCTGCACGACGCCGCGGAAAACGGGGAGCTGGAGGTGGGGGCGGGGCCGGAGCGGGCGGGGCCGGGACGGGCGCCCTCTGCCGGCGCCGAGCTCTCAGCACAGCCCTGACCCGGCGCGGGGGGGGGCGGGGGGGGCCCCCCCCCCCCCCCCGCGCAGTGCTGCCAGATCCTGGTAGTGAACGGCGCGGAGCTGGATGTCCGCGACCGCGACGGGTACACGGCGGCCGACCTCTCGGACTACAACGGCCACAGCCACTGCACCCGCTACCTGCGCACGGTGGAGAACCTGGTACGGCCCTGGCGCTGCCCCTGGCTTAATCTCGTCCCCCACCGTGTCCCCGTCCCTGCCCCCACGGGTTGGTGGTGTTCCCCCTTTACTGCGGAGGGAGCTGACGTTCGCAGAGATGACGCCCCTTGTCCGAGGTCACACAATGAGGAAGTGTCCTAGACCATTACCCTTCCCAGCCCAGAGCCACTGACCATTGAGAGGGGAGGTGGTAAAGAAAAAGGGTCAAGGGGAAGAGGACCAGTGTCCCCCTGGTAAGAAGGAAGGCTTGGAGAAATCACAAGACACTTACATGCCAATGGGAATAGTCAAGTTCCTTCACCTGCCTACAGCCCACAAGTAGTAGCTCACTTAACTCTCCATCACCTCTAAGGTGGGTGGTGTTCATGTCCCCATCTCACCCAAGGTCACACAGCTGTTAATGGTGGAGTCTGAGTGGCAAGGCTTGGAGCCACTGCTCTTGACCACCACAGCGTATGTTTGCTCACTTCATGGCTACATCATAACTGGAAACTTCTGTCACTCTTTTTAAATTATTTTATTATGGGTGCACAGCTGTGAAGCAGCCCACTGGGACTTGAGCTCAGGTGAGGTTGGCTCCAAGTCCAGGGCCCTGCCTCATCTGGTGTAATGCCTGCTTTGGGACAGGAGGGAGGGCGGAGGGTGGGCCTCACAGGTGCCTCTCAGGAGGTCCAGCTCTAGGGGGCACCCTGGCTGGAAGAGAGGCTAGGAAATGAGGTCTGGAGGGGAGAAGGTGGGATGGCCTCCTGCCCATAGCACCGTCTGCCCTGTGTGCACGCACCGGGCTTCTGGGTACTCCAGAGCACAGCTAGGCCCCGTGGTCAGAGACTGCAGCTGGACCCAAGGAAGAACGCTCCCCCCGCCAAAAGGGCCACCCAGAGAAAGTAACCGTCCAAAAGATAGTAAGCACCCTGTCACCAGGGTGTACAAACAGGGGTGTGTGCTGTGAAAGGCACTCCTGTAGCAGAGGTGGTTCTTACCCACTGAAAGAGCGTACGATTCTGTTTGGAGGGTGGGGTGGGAGGTGGCACGAAGCCCCAGCCCCTCCGTCCCCCCTAAATGGCAGCTTCAGTCGCGGCGATAAGCAATAAACACCATTCCTTGAATTCTCACTCTGGCAAGAGCCTGCCAGTGCTCTAGAGCATAACCTCAACCTCCACAGTAAATTAACACTAATATTGACATTGCATTATAGCATGTACTGGCTACCAGGCCCTGGCCCTTCACTAACTTTTAAAATCTTCATACCTTAAAGGGGCAGGAAGTACTGTTATCCCCATGGACAGGTAAAGACCCCCAGGTCCAGAAAGGATAGGTGACTTGCCCAAAGTCACTTGGCTAGTAAGTAGAAGAGGTGACATTTGAAGCCAGCGTTCCAGGCTGCAGAGCCTGGGCCCCTAACCTCTGTTACCCAAGGGTTCAGGGCTGGGCACCCCCAATGCCCACTGCTGACAGCCAAGAAAAGAGCATCTTTGGCCACCCCCTCCCTCCAAGCCCAGCACCTATGCTTCCCCTTGGCTCATGGAATAGGCAGCAGAGCCTGGCCCGGCCCCCCTGAACTGGGTGGGCTGCGGGCCCCTTGGCCCCCTCACCCAGACAGGCCCAGCTGCAGCAGACAGATCCCTACCACGCAGGATGCTGGCCCAGAAAAGGCAAACAGTCCCACAGGGCCCCTAATTACAGGGCCAATGAGCAGGGCTGCTGAGCTGTTACCTGGTGCGAGGCTTGCCTCCTGCTCCCAGGGGGCCTGTGACACTTCTCAGGCAGGGGAGGGGGCGCGGGGCCGGGAGGAGCAGGCCTGGGCAGGAGGCAGCAGACGGAGCCAGCCAGCAGGCTTGCCAGCAGCAAGGCCACCATGGGCAATGTAAGCGGGGGGCCCCCACGCCAGCGCGCTCCCATCCCGGGAGGGTCAGGCCCGTGGGCAGGGGCACAGACAGTGGTGGGGACAGCGTGCCCATGGCCAGACTCAGCTGGGCCACCCCAGGCCACGCCCTTTCTCCGAGGGCCCCATCAGGAGATGGGCTGGGCTGGTGTTGGGATTTGTCCCAGTAGGGCAAGGAGAGACCGGGGGTGCTGGCCAGGTCATGGGAAGTCAGTCCTTCCTGCAAGTTGTGGGGGCCCCGCCCGCCTCCCCTACCCCAACTGCTCCAGGTGTTCCCATCAGCTGCAGCTCCTGAGTCCCCACCCCCCCACAAGTACACTGGAGCCCATCCCTCTGACGGGGAAGGAGAAGGCTGGTGCCACGGCAATCTTGCCCTTGGAGTCCGGACCAGGGCCCCCTTTTCTGATGGTCTCTCAACCCCCTTGACCAAAGAGGGGCTGGGGCAGGAGGTCCCCAGGAACCAGAGGTCCTGCTACTAGGGGGCTGGGCTTGAGTCTCAGCCTGGGAAGACATTCTCATAGTGGGGTGGGAGCCCCAAGACGGAAGTGGCCTGGCCTGGGCCACACAGCAGGACGTATCGGAGCAGGCCCCTGGCCCAAGTGCACTGGTCCTCATTGTCGACCCCATTGCCTCCCGTCCCATTCAGAGCGTGGAGCACCGCGTGCTGTCCCGGGATCCGTCTGCTGAGCTGGAGACCAAGCAGCCTGACTCCGGCATGTCTTCACCCGACACCACAATGTCGGTCCAGCCACTGAACTTCGACCTCAGCTCGCCCACCAGCACCCTCTCCAACTATGCCTCCTGCTCCTCCAGCCACTCCAGCATCAAGGGCCAGCGCTCCTCGCGCGGTGAGGGGGCCAGGCTGGGAAGAGGGAGGAGGGAGCACAGACTGGGACGGACCGCTGGGCCCCAGGGCCCAGCCCTGGGCCCCCTTGGCCCACAGCTGATGCTGGGGGCTGCCCAGGTCCCCACCCAGGAAGGGCCGCTGGTTCTGGCGAGGGGCAGGTGACCCGCGTCCTGGTGCATGCTCCTCACAAGCACACCTGAACACCTGCAGGTCCTCTCCCTGAGACAGAACCCACGCACCCCCTCTGATGACTCACCCCCCCCCACGTTCCCCAGACTTTACACACACCTACACACGCTCAAGAGTGCACATGTGCACGCACAGCACACCACTACGCATGCACATCCAACACCATGCAGATTCACGCACACACCTACGCGGTCACACAGCCTTCCAGTCCCATACTCGGGGCACATGTACACACGTAAGCACACATGCACACACACACCCCATGTCCACAGACCGATGTAAACACAAAGAAATGTGCAGATGCTCACAAACCTACACAGGTACGAACGCACAAATGTTAGACAGAAGTGAGGCGTGTGTGTGTGCACGCGCTGAGCACACCCTGAGCCTAGGTGACCAGCCACCTGCCATATCTGCTTCATGCTGCAGCGCGGTGGCTGCAGAGATGGTGGGGTGCCCTGCAGCTTGGGGCCTGGCTGTCCGGGCTCCTGCCGCTCTGCCCTGTGAGGTCTGAGCTAAGGATGTCACCTTGACCCTCTGGGTGGCCGTGCTCCCCAGGCAGGCCCTGGAGCTGAAAGCCGCCGCCTCGGGTCCTTCTCTCTAAACTTGAGTGCAGGGTCTTTTCAAAACACATGCAGGGCTGGGGGAGGCGGGAGGGCAGGGCAGGGCAAGGTGGGCCCTGCGCTGCTGGAGCCCTCAATGTGCTGTAGGAAGCTGTGTCCCTAAGCCCACGTCACCCCTTGGCAAGTTGCTTCTGGGTGGAAGAGGGTCTCAGTCCTGGGGGACAGCGTGTCTGCAAACCCCCACACCCCGCCTTCCCTCCCTCCCCAGGCCTTGCCAGTTCAAGAGCGGCAGATATACAGAGCTATGTGGACATGCTGAGCCCCGAGCTGGGCCGAACCCCGGGCAAGATGAACAAAACCACACTGCCACCACCGCCACCGCCACCACCTGGCTTCCCTCCGCCGCCCCCACCCTCAAGCACCCAGCTGCCCCCACCCCCACCAGGCTACCCCGCTCCCAGGCCCCCCGTGGAGCCACATGCAGCGGACATCTACATGCAGACCAAGAGCAAACTCCGCCACGTGGAGACGGAGGCCTTCAAGGAGGTAGTGACCTTTCACCCACCTGCCTGCCTCCCAGCGCTGGGACTGGGCTGACAGGCAGCAGCTGAGGCCAAGAGACTGACTGGCTCATGGGCACACGGGAGGGGGAGGCAGGGGCGGGGGGGGTGCCTGCGTGGGGTGGCCTATTCAAGAGTCAAAGCTCCTGGCTAGACCCGTGGGGACTCAGGGCTGGGCCCCGGGGACAGGGAGATGAGTCAGACAAAGCCACCACCCTCTCAGGAACTGGGGATGGGTGAAGGGACTTGGAATCAGACAGCAGGCCCCTCAGGAGCAGGGTCCTCCTCCATGGCGGTCACACAACTGGCAGAGAGTACGTGCAGAGACTGCCCTGTCCGCAGACCTTCCCCAAGGGGCTGTCTGCCAGGTGGGAGATGAGGGGGCAGGGCTGTGGAGGTGAGGGGGGTGGTGGAGGAAGGGAGAGAGCGCACTAGCAGGACTCAGCCCTCAGTGGGGGCTGAGCGAGGGTAAAGCTGAGGTTGGCTCTCCGATTTGGGGCTTGAGTGCCCAGGCTGGTGGAAGGGCCAGTCCTGAGATGGGAGGCGTAGGGGAGAAGCCAGCCTGTGGGGAGGGGCTGTGTCCAGTGTGGGCACACTGGGTGTGAGGTACCCAGGATGTCAGGGCCCCTGGGGGCCTGGCTGAGGTTCTGGAGCCAGAGGGCTGGGCTGGGGAGCTGAGCGTCCTGGGTGGGGAGCCCACCGGGGGCCCTGGGGTGCTGGCCAACAGGGCACAGCAGGCTGGTGTGGGACGCGGGGGGGGGGGGGGGGGGGGGGGGGGGGGGGGGGGGGGGGGGGGGGGGGGGGGGGGGGGGGAGGGGGCAGCCTGAGACCACAGGTAACAGAGTGTGGGTTAGAGGCCCCGCAGGGCCGATTGGGAGCCCTGACCTGTAGTTCTCTGTCAAGTCCAAGGCAAACCACTCCAGAGCCAAGCTGAGGAACCAATTTGCCCACAGGTGTCCCAGGTCACAAGGCCACTGGGAGGGGAAGAGGGGGGAGCACTCTCCACAGCGACTCCACCCTCCCTCATGCCATCTGGGCCCAGGCTCTCAGTCGGGGTCCCCTTTCATGTCTGTGAGGTGGAGAGGGCCCAGGAGAGGACTGCAGGGGCCAGGGACAAGCGGACTTTCCTGCCGATTGTGTAGCCAAAGCTACAGGGCAGGTGGCCCAGCCTGTGCCCCTCCACTCCCCTGCGCTCCGGGATTTCGAGGTCCCGTGCCCGGACCGGCTGTGTGCGTGCAGGGCCGCAGGCGACAGGCAGTTCCACAAAGGGCCCTTTGTGTGCCCACTGCGCCTCTAGCCCCCGCCTCCGCCCCCGGGGCCTGGCCGTCGCTTGACCGCAGAGGGAGCAGGGTCGTGGCATCCGCGCCTTGGGGCTGCAAGGGGCGCCGAGGGGGCGGGCTGGCCCAGAAAACAAATCCTGTGGTGTCGGGTTTCCTGCAACGAGAGCCGGTGCGGGTGGGGCTGAGAGGTCGGGGCCACCGCGGGGACGCACGGGCAGGGAGGGGGAGGGCGGGTGGAACAGGGGACAGCCCCCGCACGGGAACTCGGCCTTTGGCCCCGCCGCCCCGTGTCCTTGTCCCCGGGCTAGGCCTAGCGGGGGGCGGCTGCGACGGGGCGGGCCACCGCGCTGTCATCCGAGCCCTCCTTGCCGCCCCTGAAACCCGAGGCTTAAGCGCGGGTGTCGGTGTCGCTTACGCGGATGTCGATGGTTTCCAGATGCGGGCGGGGAAGGGCGGGGGCGTGACCCGGAACCCAGGGGTACCAAATACCGGGGGCTCCGCTGCTTGTGTGCCTCCCGGCCCTTCGTCCACGGGGTATGGAAGGGACAAGTGGGGGTGTGTGAAGGCTGGGGTGCTCAGCACCTAGCGGAGGGAGAGAGCGGCAGGGGCGGGGCCACATCTGGCTTGCGGGGCAGGCCCGGCGCTGCGGCGGGTCGTGGCGCCGCCGGGGGAGCCCCCGCGCATCCCCCGGTGCTGGGAGTGGGTCAGCGCGGGATTGGCTGGCGCTGGGTGATGTCAGGCCGGCAGAGCTCATAGGCCCTGCGGGGCGCGGGCGGCCAGGGCTGGGCTGTAACCTGAGAGGAAGGATCAGTTAGCGCAGGTGTCGGGTCCATGCCGCCCCCGCCGCCAGGTGCACAGCGGGGGCCCTCGGCACCGGCGCAGGTAGGAGCAGCCCCGGGACCGGGCGGCTTAGGGCCTTGGGCAGCCCGGACAGGGCTCTAACGGGGCTCCCTGGGGGTCGGAGTCCCTGAAAGAGAGGGTTCGGAAGAGCCTTGGGGACGCGCAGGACCGCCGGGTAGCCAGGAATGGGGTGAGGCTGAGGCCTCGGCGCTGGCGTAACCTGCGAGCTGCCCCTTCTCCGGCTCCCCCTGGCGACGGGGCTGGGTCAACCCGCCCCTGGTCCCGCCCCTTCTAGCCTCAGTGGGGGCCCTTGTGGCCTTGGCCTGCTCCCAGAACCCCTCCCTTGGGGGACCGACCGAGCCTGCCGTTCCCCAGGACCCCCGCCCCATCCCCGCTCTGAGGGCCTGGGAACCCGGTTGGCCGCACCCCTCGACGGCCGCTGGCCGTGAGCCCCCGGACTGTGAAGAGCTGGGGGGGCGGGGCGTGGGAGGCCCCCGGGACCGGCGCCTGAAGCCCCTCCGCCGCTGTCTTCCCGCAGCTGAGCTCGCACGACGGCCACAACGGGCTGCGGAGGCAGGACTCCAGCCGCAAGCCCCGCGCTTTCAGCAAGCAGCCCAGCACGGGGGACTACTACCGCCAGCTGGGCCGCTGCCCCGGGGAGCCGCCGGCCGCACGCGCGGGCATGGCGCACAGCGAGGAGGTGCGTGCCAGCCCGCCCGCGCCCGGCGGCCGCGCGGGACCCGGCCCGGCCGCGCGCTGCTCACTCGCCAGCCCCTCCGCTCCCCCGCAGGCGGCGCTGCTCCCCGGGAACCACGTGCACAACGGCTGCGCCGCGGACCCCAAGGCGTCCAGGGAGCTGCCCCCGCCGCCGCCGCCGCCGCCCCTGCCCGAGGCCCTTAGCTCGCCGCCGCCTGCTCCGCCTCTGCCCTTCGAGGGCGCTGGCCCGGGCTGCGGACAGCGTCGCTCCTCCTCGTCTACTGGCAGTGAGTAGGGGCGGGTTGAGGGGTGGGGGGCGGTGCCAGCCCTGCAGAGGAGGGAAACCTAGACCTCGCTCCTTTCCCAGCGGCCACGGCACTGGCGCTTCCTCTTTCCCGACGTGTTCTTCCTGCTGCAAGCCCCTACCCCAATGAGGACCTGACCCTAAGAGAAGGCTCCGAGTTGCCTCTGTGTGACCTCAGTCCGGCCCCCTTTCCTCTCTGGGCCCACATCCCATCCAGCAGGGAAGGCCTCCCAGCTCTGGTGGCCGGTGCTTCTAATGAGCTGGTGCTAACTGGGAACTTGGAGAAGTAGACTTAGTTTCAAAGAGGCAGGGCTGCTCCGCCCACCTTCTTCCTGCCCCATCCATGTCTATCCTCAGTTTCTCTTCTCCTCCTCACCGCTTTCTCTTGTTCCTCCAAGCTAGCTACAGCCTGAGCTTTTCTCAGATAGGTCAGGGGCTCTTCCTGGACAGATACCCCCAGAGGCCCCAGGCCAGCTAGGACCGGGCTATGGGGGCAAGGCCAGTGACCCATCATGCCCTGCGCTTTCCCTCCTGATGACCCCCCACCCTGGGCAGCCTTTTTAAGATCTGGGCTGGTGACCAGGATTCCTGGGCTTCTCTTCTGTAAGGTGGGGCAGTCTCTTACACGCCAGGGCTCCTGCAAGGCCCATGAGGTGGTGTCCTATGTGTGGGGGGTGGGCCCACGAGGTGGTGCCCCGTGTGGGGGGCGGGGCAGGGTGCCTTCCCCACCCAGCCCCTCGGTGCTGGGACCATGTTTAGTGACATCATCCACAGCTTCTTGTCCCTTACTAGGAGTGCATAGGTATAATCGGTTCCAGGGTAGGGCCAGCCTGGGGTCCCTTCGGATCCCTATAGAGCCTCAGCCCCTGCAGACTGGAGTCTATGGCAGCAGGCCCACCACCCACTGAGCCTCCAGAAAGGTGCCCAGCTCTGGGGTTAGCTTTTTCCTTTGAGGGCAAGGCTGAAGCCAGGATCGGAAGAAAAATAGAACCTGGGCTTCTCCAGAAACCCCTTCTCAGCAGAGCCTGGGCTGGGTGCCCTATCCCAGCCCAATGCCAAGCGTGAGGCCCTTGCTAGGGGGACCCGTGGTAGCCCTACCCAGTCCTCAGGGACACCAGTGAAGCCCGGAACGGGGCGGACCACCCTTGTGGGGCCCCAGAGCAGCCTGAGCCAGGGTGAGATGAGCTGGAAAATTCCTCCTCTCCTGTCCCCCCTCCTCTGTGCATCGCCCTCCCCTCCCTCCTCTTGCTATCCACCCCCCTACCCCCGCTGTCCTAGCCTCACCCCGGCCCCCTCCCCCTCCTAACTTCCCTGTCACTTCTCTCCTCTCGGTCCCTAGAAGTGAGAGTCCTGAGGCACAGGAAGAGTGAGTAGCTGCGTGCGTGGCTCCTGGCTGAGCTGCGGGGTGGGGATCGAGGCACGCTCAGGGCAGACGAGGCTGCAGGACCTGGGACTTTAGGGGAGAAAAAGGGGGGGCGGGGCCAGGAGCCAGCAGGCCAGGGGACCTCCGCACTGCAGGCGGGGCCACTGGCCCCACAGCTACCTTCCTTCCTCCACCACACCCGCATGCACACCCACAAATTCTACCCATGGCTGTCAGTTTTGCCCAAATAAATGAGCCCGTTGCCAGTACCTGCCTGGCAGCTTTCCCTTTTACCCCTCCTGCTGCTCGCTCAGTGATCCCCAGCCTGGGGAGCCCAAGAGCTGTTGGCTTGGTTTTTTTGCCCTCCCCCAGCCCTCCCCCCTCCCTGGGTCTCTAAGACAGCCCTTCCCAAACCCCAGCCGCCTCCGCTGGCCTTGTCAGAAAATGCAAACTCCGTGTACTGCCTATTTGCATGCTTTTCACCTGGCCCTCCTTCCTGGGTGACCTCACCCCGTATCCTCAGTAAAGGCTCCGCTTTCCTAGGTCCCCAGAGCTGAGCAGCGCTTCGCCATAAGTGTGCTACGCATCGGGCTTGCAACCAGTGTCTGCCTGGGTGTCTGTCTGTGGGTGTGGGAGGTGGCGAGGGGACCGGCTGGGTTCTGAGCCCATATAGCCACGGAGGCCCCAGGTGACTCAGTCCAAGGGTCACTGAGCTTTGCTGATGCAGAGAGGGCTGGAGGGAGACTCCACCCCAGCTGGCAGAGACAGGGAACCCAGGGCAAAGGTCGGGTGGCTGGTCCCCAGGTAGTGTCTTGAAGCTGGTCAGTCAGTGTCCTGGGCGGAGACATTCGCTGGAGTCCCCAGGGCCGGGCCAAGAGCCAGCATGAACTGCCAGGGACCTCCAGGCAGGGCCCCCATTCCCCGTGAGTAGGGCCAGGAGGATGGTGGGGTCTGCGGGCTGTGAGCGGGGAGCCCGCCTCTGGGGTACCGGAGAGCGCCCCCCAGGGCCTGAGATCTGGAGAGCTTCCATCTGGAGCCCGGCCCTTCCCGACTTGGGGAGGGGCAGCAGAGGGGCAGGTGGGGGGCGGCCCGCCTCCCCGCCAGCACCTCCTCTCCCGCCTCCGTGCAGGCACCAAGTCTTTCAACATGATGTCCCCGACGGGTGACAACTCCGAGCTACTGGCGGAGATCAAGGCCGGCAAGAGTCTGAAGCCGACGCCGCAGAGCAAGGGGCTGACCACCGTGTTCACGGGCAGCGGGCAGCCCATCTCCCAGGTAGGCGGCTCGACGGGTACCCCGCCCCCTCCCCCGTGCAGGCCTGTCACTCAGCCTTGCCGCTTCTCCCCGCAGTCCGACGCGCCGCTGCTGCCCCCGCAGGCGTCGCCCGCGCCGTCGCGGGCCCGCAGCCCCACCCCGCCGGCCGTGGGGCCGCAGCCGCTGCTCAACGGCAGCTTGGCGCCGGCGCCGCCCGCCACCCCGGCGCCAGGCGTGCAGCTCGACGTGGAGGCGCTCATCCCCACGCACGATGAGCAGGGCCGGCCCATCCCCGAGTGGAAGCGCCAGGTGATGGTGCGCAAGCTGCAGCTGAAGATGCAGGAGGAAGAGGAGCAGAGGCGGAAGGTGGGTGGGGCGGGGCGGAGCCGCCCAGAGAGCCCCGGAGTCTGCGCCGGGTCCTTGGCCCATCCCTCACATCACCCCCCAGCCTGCCGGGTCCTTTCCACCTCCGGAGGCTCCCATTGGCCTTGGTGGGGGGAGGGGGCGAAGCAGGGCTGGAGGACCTCGCCTGCCCCGGGGACCACCCTACCCCTGCCTCCAGCAGCCTGTCCTTCGGTGAGATGAGGAAGCTCATCAAACTCTAATGTGTTTCACGCCCCCCCCCTCCATCTTGTAAAAATGCCGATTGTGATTCAGGAGCTTTGGGCGGGGCTGAGATTCTGCATGTCTGGCAAGCTCTGGGTGAGGCTGACCTGCTGGTCCAGGGATGGCACTCTGCTACATAGCCAGCATGCCTTTGGTTGTAGTCAGACTGGCCTGGGCCCTTGTCCTCACTGCCACTTTCCAGCCACCGAGACAGCCGCATCCAGCCTCAGTTTTCTTATCTGCCAATGACTGATCGTCACTGGCGGGCAGGGTGGTTTGTCATTGATCAGCTCAGCACGTGTTTCCTGGGTGCTGTGTCTGTGCACTGTTGTAGCCTCTAGGGATTCACGATGAATATCTCAAGGTCTTTTCAAGGTGGCTTTGGGGGGGAGGGTGTCAGGGGATCAGCCAACAAGCAAACACAGCATCTTAGTAGAGAGATAGGTGCCCCCAAGAATACAAAACAAGGTAACTGAGAGCCTGCGTGAGCAGGGAGGCCAGTGACTGGGCTGTTAATCATAGCGCCAGCACTGGGATGGGGTGTGCAGAGGACTGGGGCAGCCCGACGCCCACCGTCCTATTTGGGCTGGGGCCCGTGTTACGAAGGAGGAAGTGGTGTCCAAGGTGGGCTTGGAAGATGAACGAGAGGTGGACTGGGAACAGAGTGGGGCAAAGAGCCGTCTCAGTGACTGTCCTGGCAGTACAGGGGCAGAGCTGGCGAGATCAGTGGGGTCAGACCACCAAGTCCTGGCCTTGAAGAAAATGGACTTTCTCCTGCAGCACTGGAGAGCCTGGGAGAGGGGTTAAGTGGGGGAACTGGCATCATCCTGTTTGTCTGTGGGGGAACGGATTGATGATTATAGTGGGTGGAGATGAACCGGGAGGATGTGAGGACCGCCCCCCAGGCTGGAGAAGCTCAGCACTAAAGTGAGGAGTGAATGAAACTCTCAGAATTTCCTGGCACACTTAGCTTATAAAATTTATTATTATTCCTAGTGCCAGAGACAGGGGGTGAGCTCTGAGGCTTCAAGCTGGCTCAGCAGTAAAACACTGACAGCATGCACAGGGAGGGCTCCGGCTGCGGGGACAGCTGAGAGGGGCCATCAGTCTGGGCGGGGTCTCTCTGGGATGTCGCCTCCACATAGCTGACCCGAGACGGGGCTGGAAAGGGCAGCCTGGTGTCGCAGCCTCAACGCCATTTGCATGTTCCTTCGGTGGTGTAATGGACAACCAAGCCAGTTGTGGAGACTCCCTCTGCCCGCTCGGTCTCTGCAACAGCGCCCAGCGACCCCGCCAGCGACCAAAGTGGACACTGCCCAGCGCCCGGAGTAGCGGCCTGGGCCGAAGTCTCGCCCCAGTGTAATCGCCGGCCGGGCGTGGCCCATCCCTGCCAACAGAGGCCCGCGGAGCCATTACACCACCCAGGACATGCAAAGGGCGCCCCCGGCGGCCGCTGGGGGAGCCGGGCCAGAGGGAGACGCGCCCCCCTCCCCTCTCTTGTCTTCCCCGCCTTAGCTGACGTCCGCCAGCTCATGCTGCTACCCCCGCGAGGGCTGGAGGTACTCCAGCGCGCACAACGGCATCCTCGGGCCCTTCGGCGAGCTCATGACCGAAGCCGACATCCTCCGCATCGAACAGCAAATCGAGAACCTGCAGGTGTTGCACAAGGCGCAGAAGCTAGAGGCGCGCCTGGAGCAGCTGGAGCTGGAGCTGGAGCAGCTGCTGCCGATGTCGGCCGCCCTTTCCGCGCCGCGCTTCACCGTCGATCCGCGCCGCATGCACGGCCGCGCCGCCAGCCTGCCCGCCTGGTGCAGCAAGATCTCCACGCTGCTCAAGAGCATGGCCACGCTGCTGGCCGCGCTGGGCGGCCGGCCCGCGCACCTGGCCGAGCTGCTGGCCGCCGACACCGGCCAGCCTCTGGCACCGCTGCCCGACGCGCCCTGGCGGCCGGGCCCGCTCTGCCTGGGCCGCTCGCACTCGCTCAGCTGGTGTCGCGAGGCCGTGGCGCGCGAGATCCTCGACTGCGGCGTCTCCGTGCAGCACCTCCGCGCCGTCTACGAGATGCGCGCCCAGGGCTCGGCGCCCGCGCGCTGCTCGCGCCGCAAGCCCTCGCTTCCCGCCGCCGCCGCGGGCCGGGAGCCCATCCTCGAGGAGGACTACGTGGCGGCCGGCGCCGGGGAGCCAAGCGCCCCGGTCGCCAACGGCTTGCCGGCCTCCTGGGACTCCGCGGGCGCCCTGGGCGCGCCCGACGCGCCGGACCAGCGGGCGGCGCCGGCCGAGCGCGAGCAGCAGGCGTGCGGGCCGCAGGTCTCCCCCGAGCTGCGCAAGGAGCGCATCGTCTACCTCTTCCTGGAGCACTGGCGCAGGTGGAGCCGCCGCGGCCCCCGGCGCCACGCCCAGGCGCGCCTGCGCAGACTGCTGCCCCGTGTGGCCGCGGGCGCCGGCCCGGGCCCCGGGGCCGCCGCCGCCGCCGCCGCCGCCGAAGGCCCCGACGGGCGGCTGCGGCGCCTGCTGAGGCAGCGGCAGGTGGTGGGTAAGCTGCTGGGCCACTGGCGGAGCCTCCTGCGGCAGGTGCCGGCACGCCCGCCCTGCGCCCCGGCGCTGGCGCACGGCCTGTACTGGCCCGAACACTTCCTGCCGCCCCTGGACGGCGGCGCGCCCCCGCGCTACGACGGCCTCACGCTGGACCTGTTCATGCTCGGCTACTTCCAGCTGCTGGAGATGGGCCTGAGCCGCGAGGAGCGCAAGTTCCGCCACCTGCTGTGCTACGAGATGTTCGACAGGCTGGGCAGCCACCCGTGGGAGCTCATCCGCCTCTTCCACCGCGTGGTGCTCGAGGAGGTGGAGGCGGGCCGCCGCAGCTGGAGCGACGGCTTCGACGACCTCAGGCGCCAGTTTTTTGGAGACGGCCCGGAGGCCGAGCCAGCCCGGGAAGAGGAGGCGGGGAAGGAGCGAGACGGGGAGAAAACAGAAGAGGAGGAGGAGGGGGGAGAGCCGGCCGAAAAGGCCCCTCCGGGTCAAACGGCGGACTGGCCAGAGCGGCAGCCCGAGGCCCCAGCTCCCGCGCCGCAGCCTGCGCCTCCCCCTCCGCCAGCCGCGCCTCCCCCGACATGGGACCCTCCTCGTTCCGAAGCCCCCGTGGAAGACCCCCTGGAGCTGGTGTCTGAGATGGGCGAGTTCAGCAACGAGGACATCTGCCGCTACATCGACCGCAGCTTCTCCTTCTGGAAGGAGAAGGAGGCAGAGCTCTTTGACCTCTGAGCGGCAAAAATCAGAATTTCTCCCTCAAGCATCTGAACCCAGGCTGCGATGCCTGTCTGATGCCCTCTGGATGCCAGAAGCCCACAGGAAAAAAAGCCCAGAAGCCAGCAGGGTGGCCTTGAAAAACCCAGAGTTTCCAGGACCAGGCTGCCAGAGCCTCTGAAGCCCCACCAGGACCAAATGTAGGGCAGAGTCCGGAGAGCGGGCAGGGCATGGCACAGGGCTAACCAGGTTTCCCCTCTGGCCCTACAGTCTTGCCAGGCTCTGCGCTGTGGCCAGGTAGAAGAAGCCAGCCTCTGAGCGAGGGACCATGGGTCCCCCCCCCCCCCCCCCCCGGGGGCAGTGTGGCTCTCCTCTCTTTGGTTTCGCACTGGAATTCACAGCTACTACTTTGAGGTCAAGGGAGCCACGTGTGTAGTGTTCCGTGTGACGTGTTCTCCTCTGTAACATCCACGTAATAAAACTCTTTCCTGTAAGCTGCCTGTGTTGGATGCCCGCCTCCGCCCTGCCGAGTCCATGCGGCCGCACAGTTGTAGAGGTAGTGTCTGCTCCACTGCGGAATAGGACACGCCTAGGCCAGAAGGTCCTTCGCAGCGGAGGCCAGCTTGAGCCTCTCTGAGCTGGCTGGTCTGTGGGTGCCCAAGTATGGGTCTGCCCAGAGAGCGGGGGTCAGGGGCCTGGAGCCATCTGTCAGCCTGCCCTAGTTGGAAATTCCATTCTCTGCTCCTCTCCTACACCTTCGCTCTGAGCTCTCTGGCGCCACCTCTAGGACACAGGGGGCCTGAGTTATGAGCGGGCAGAGCACTGGAGGTCCCCCTCTAAGGGGGTTGTGGCCAGGCACCTTCATCTATTTGTCCTGTAGAGGGACATCTGTATCCCAGTGTCCCTGACCAGTGCAGGTCCCCCGGGGTTGGGGGTGCACCCCCTCTGAACCCCCGCCTCCCAGCCCATGCTGGTCCTGAAGCTCTGTGCTTGTGTTTCAGGAGGAAGAGGAGGAGGCCCGGCTGGCCAGCATGCCTGCCTGGAGGCGGGACCTCCTGCGGAAGAAGCTTGAAGAGGAGAGGTGAGCTGGGGAACCGGAAGCTTCAGGACCTGGAAGGGTGTCTTGATCATGTCCCCGAGGTGGTGGCACCAAATAATGCTGTCTCTTTTTTCCTCTAGGGAGCAGAAGCGGTGAGTGTGGGCCCGCCTGCTGCCCCTCCCTGACTTAGGCACAGCCCTTTTTTCCCTTCATGCAGCCCCATCTTGACCACACTCCCTCGTCACTCTGGTTTGTAGCAAACCTCTCTGCTCCCCAGAATGCCCCCAGACTCCTCTCTCCCCGCAACTTAGCCCCTGCCCCGAAGTCTAGATCTTATGCCCTAACAACCTTGACCTGGATTACCCAGCCCCTCATCTTCCATTAACCTAGCCTTCAGTTATGAGCCCCCGTCACTGTCAGTAACCTTGACCTCTGTCCCTCAAAGCGTGGTTTCTGCCCCAGGAATCTAGCCCAGTGCTTACAGAAATACAGTGCGAGCCACTGTGTAATGCTAAGTTTTCTAGTAGCCGCTTTGAAAAAATCAAAAGAGAAAGGTGACTTTAACGTTGATATTTTACTTAACCCAAAGTATCAAAATAGTGTTTCAATACAGAACCAGTCTAACAGTTACTGGTGAGATGTTTTACAGTCTTTTAAGAAGCAGAGTCTTCGAGATGCCATGTGCGTTTTAACACGTATGGTACATCTCAGTTCTGCCATTTCAGATGCTCACTAGCTCCCTGTGTTTAGTGGCTTTTGTCAACAGTGCGTCTCCAGCCCCTATGGTATAATAACTGCCCCTAATTAGCCACCACTGCCTCCAAGTCTTGTGGTCCCTCCTAACTTGGGTCCTGGCCCCAGGACATCCCTTTGCCCCAGGTCACCCTCTGCCACACTCCTGACCCAGCACCCATTTCCAGTAATACCCCAGCCAGAAATAACTGAGCCACAGCCTCTCCCTCACCCGGGTCCTGTGTGTGCCCCAGTGAAGCCAGTCTGCCCCCAAACAAGCCCCTCCCTGTTCCATAGCCTTGTGGCTCCTGACCCAACCCCAGTCCCCAATCACCCAGCCCTTCTGCCCCTAGAACCCACTGCCCTGGCCGCCGTTAATCAGTCCCTCTGTCCTCAGCCACCCAGCCCCTGCCCCCAGTAATGCATTACTTGCCACCCACCACCCGCTCCCGGGGCTTGGCCCACCCGCTCACGCTTGCGGGGGGTTCTGCCCCCCACACGGTGCCTAGGAAAGAGGAGGAGCGACAGAAGCAGGAGGAGATGCAGCGGGAGAAAGAGCAGTCGGAGAAGCTGCGGACGCTGGGCTACGACGAGAGCAAGCTGGCGCCCTGGCAGCGACAGATCATCCTGAAGAAGGGGGACATCGCTAAGTACTAGATGCCGCCCTCCTGCTAGAGCCGCGTGAGCTCGGGGTGGGGGGGGGGCCCAGTCTCTGCCCCGGCCTGCCAGGCTGGGGCGGAGAGGGCTGGGAGCCGCGCTGCCTTCCCCCTCCCGCGCTGGAACCCCTCCCTGACCCCGCTCCGGCCCCCGCAGCCCCAGCCCGGGGTGACGCTGGAGCGCGCCCGCCGCCGTCGCCCAGAAAAAGTGCCCAAGCAAGCTGTTGACGCAAAAAAGATGCTGCTTATTTGCATGCCTATTTACATATATTTGCATGTTCGGTGAAGGTCGTGCAGAGTGCTCCCCAGCCGCGTGGGTGGTGACTCCGTTTTCCCGCGGGGCGCGCGCCCACGCCAGCAGCCCCCTCCCCCGCAGCCCGGAACCCGCGCGGCGGGCGCATCCTGGGCGGAGGCAGGCCCCGCGCTCGGGGAAGGGGTTTTCCTCCCGCCGTGACCCAGATCTGCGCCCGGCCTGCGCGGGCCGCGTTTCCCATCCCCGCCGAGGGTTTCCTCTCAGTCATTTGTTTACCAGAAACAATGAACCCGGCAACCTGCCCGTCGGGACAGAGGTGCCGCTCCGGGGGCCCAACCTCTGCCTCCCCTCCCCCTTGTAAAGTCCGCGCCCGGGCCCCACGCCCCCCGGACCCTTCCACGGCGCTGGTGGCTGGAGTGCGGGTCGAGGGGCCCCGCTTGTGTCTCCGCCTGCTTCCTCCCCGTCCCTGCCGTCCACACCCGCATTAAAGCTCTATCAGCCGCCAAGGCTAAGGTTCACTCTCTCGCGCCGCCGCCGTAGCCACGACTTCCTCTCGCCATCGGGTAACTAGGCCAAGCCCAGCCGAGCGGGAGGGCGGCGGCCGGGGCGCCAGGGGCCCCCCTGGGCCCCACCGTGGGTCCCCGAGTCTGGGGCGTTAAGGCTTCTGGGCCTTTCGACGCCCCCCCCCCCCCCCCCCCCCCCCCCCCAGGAAACGAAGCCCGGGCCGCTTAACACCACAACCCCTCGGAAACACCAAGCGGTAGCTTTTCTTCACAGATTTAATACCCAGGCCTCGGCCAAGGTCAGGCCGGGACATTGCTGAGCCATCTCCTGCCCCCTCCCGATGTCCGTCGATGCCGCTTTGCCTGAGGCAGAACCCGGGGGGTACGGGGCAGGGAGGGCGGCCGGCGCTGCTACGCAGGGCCGTACCAGGAGCTTAATAAGTGACATAAAATGTCTACACGCGTTAAGTAACCGTACTTAGGGCTTCTGCGGGGCCGCCAGAACCTGGGGGCGCCCGCCGTGCGCCCCGCGTCACGGGCAGCGCTGCAGGCGGCTGCGCAGGTCCTCGGCGCAGCCGTCCAGCCCCATGCGCTCCAGCGCCGCGTAGACGGCGCCCAAGCCCGCGGGCTGCTGCTGCCGCCAGCGCTTGAGCATCTCGTACTGCTGGTCGCGGAAGCGGCCGACCTCCACCTCCACGGCCTCGATCTCCGCCTCGCGCAGCCCCAGGGTGCGCACGAACTCCTTCCAGCGCCGCGCCGGCACCGCGTCCATCACGTCGTAGAGCTGCGGGCCCGGCTGCAGCGAGGCGGCCGGCGAGCCCGCGGGGGGCGCTGGCGAGGGCGTGGGCGGCGGCGGCGGGTCTGGGTCTGGGGGCGAGCCAGAGAGGCGGGTGTGGAACGCATCCTGAGGCCAAGGGGCAGGGGCCACGGGCAGAGCGGGGGCCAGGGAGGCGCGCGCGGACAGCTCGGGAAGTGGGCAGGTGGTGCCTCGGGAAACCACTACTTCTCATCTCGGGCTCAGGAGAATGGGGTCAAGGCCTCAGGCGGTGAGGTCTCTTACCGAGAGCTCTGCCGCTGGGCGGCGGGTCCCAGGACCACATCACCTCCGCGCAGGGAGCCTCCTGGATGTGAGGGGAGCCGAGCGTCCAGCTGTTGCCTGCCAACTGGATGGGGTGCACCTTCTCACCGCTGCAGGGTGGCGCTAGAAGGGCGCTGTCCCTGGGTGCGAGGTGGGTGGCCTGGAAGCCGAGAGATGTCCCGGGTCAGCCCACCTAGCCTAGTCAGGCCCCCTTTCTGGGGTCTCTAGCCGGGAGTAGCCATTCCCTGGATCGGTCAGCAAACATTCTTCAAGGCTGCCTCCCGCAGTCCGCCATCATCTCTCATTGTGTGGCCCAAAAGAACAAACTCCTCTGCCTGAAATAACCCTGTCCGGCCGCCCTTCCCTGTGCCCCAGCCCTGTGGAGGCCTCGCTATGGTGACACATCCCACCTAACTGTTGTTAGCTCCTGTTTACGAGTCTGCACCCCGCCGCACTGAAAGCCACTTAGAGACAGGGCGATGCTGTTCTCATTCACTGACTACGCAGGGAATGCACATGTGCTCATTAGGCCTACCCTGTGCCAGCCACCGAGCCATGCACGGGGGACCCCGAGTCACAATAATGGCCCAGCCTCTCAGCTCCAGAAGCCTGGGGCCTGGGATCCTGCTCACTCTCTTCCCTGAACATGATGAACACTCTTACCTGTAGGGGAGTCAGGGCCTCCAACCCAACTTCATCTGCTGAGAGACAAGAGCATCCCATGAGCAACCAGGCCAGACTCCTAGACCTGGGTGCCGGTCCAGCTCCTCCTGGGCTCCCCCGCACCACCCACGCCCTCAGTCTCCCCCTCGGCATCAGGGGTGAGTGGGCTCTGGGCCGTGCATGCTGACCCCGTGCCCCTAGACACGTGTGTGCGCCTGCGAGTACTTACCAGGAGCCGTGGGCTTGCAGGGCCGGCAGCGGTGGTATGTGTAGGCCAGCGCGGCCCCCAGCAGGAGTGGGACCACGAGGCCAGCCAGGAGCACCTGGACCCAGAACACTGAAGGACAGCGGGTGAGGGGTGGGGCGCGGCCACACCCAGCCTCCCCACAGCCCTGCCCGATTCCCAGCACAGCGCTTACTCTGCCTCCAGCCGCAGACAGCCAGACAGGGCTCAGGACAGCTCCCGAGGGTGCTCCTGCAAGAAGGGGGGAGGGGGGGTGAGGGAGTAGACGCCGGGACAAGTGACCCCTCCTCCCCATCCCGGAGGCCCTCCCCTCCCCGGGACTCTTCCCCGGGTGCCACAGTACCCAGGAACATTCCCAAAGGACTGCTGAAACTTCACCGGTGTCCCCAGGAACAATAGCAACAACACTATTTACGGAGCTTTTTCTAGACTAGATTGAGGGTTGCTAGAATGCCAGCTCCGTGAGGACAGGGACTTGCCTACTTCGTTCCCTGTTGTATCCCCAGCACCTAGAACATCTCTGGAAAATGGTAGATGCTTAAGAAAGCCCTGCTGAGCAAATGCATGGATAAAGTGCTTTACTCCTTAATCTGTGCCCCGGGGCTGGGGGGTGGGCGGGGGAGGGGGGGAGAATCTGCTAACACACGGGGAAGCCACAGACCAGAGAGGTGAAGTCACTTGCCCAAGATCTCCCAGAGAACAAGTGGCAGGTCATACAGTTTTAAACCCATACCAACTTGACTCTATAAATGGTCACATCCTATGCTCCTTTAAGGTACCGCTGGAAAGATTACTAAAGGAAAGTCTGACAGAGCGACACCCCCCACCCCCACCCCCCGACACACACACACACACTGTATTTATCTGACACAGGGTGAATGTAGATTTCCCTTCAGTATCCGATGTCTGCCTGAAATGGCGCCCACCCAGCACAGGATCAACCTCCCTCCACCTTCCCCGAGACCCCACTGTGCTCCCAGCCCCCCTTTCCCTGTCCCAGGGCAGCCAGGACGTTACGTGGGGCAGGACACGCAGCTGTTGCCATAGTCATAGAAGCCAGGCAGGCAGGTCCCACAGTCGGTGTCTCTGACGGAACCTGTAGTCCGGGAGATGGCTTGCGCATCAGGAAGGGCGGCGGGAGTTCGGGAGGGGGTGGTCGAGGGGCAGGCAGCCCAGAGCAGGGTACTCACAGGGCTCCCGGGTGTGGCGGTGCAGGGCCCTGCAGTCTGAGCACGGGTGGCAGCGGAAGGGGGAGCCGTCCTTGCAGGGCTTGACTAAGCACTCGGGGAACCAGCCCGGGTCACAGCCACAGTGGGCATCTGCCACTGCTGAGCAGTTCTTCAGGGCCACCTGGGAGACTGGCAAGAGCATTCAGGGAGATGGGGAGAGTGGAGGTCATCAGGGCCGGAGCCCCCCGTGGGGACCTGGGGCAGATCCCCTGGAGAATGGAGACGGGGGCAGCCTGGAGACGGGGCCACCCCCAAAGGGAGAGAAGCATGGAGATGGCCCCAGAGCAGAGGCTGAGGCATAAACAGAGATCGGCGGGTTGTCAGGAAGCGAGGGGCACAGGAATCCTAGGGTGGGATCCAGGGGGAGGGGCCTGGGATGGGTGCATACAGGGCTGTCCCACCAGAGGTCAAGCCCAAGCCCGCCGCCTGATTCAGAAATGGGCTGGCCGTGGCCTCAAGAGTCCCCCACTGAGCACTAGGCCCCTCACCCTCCTCATCACAGGCTTGGCAGCGGGCGCAGCGGGTCTCGTGGTGGTTTTCCCTGGCCAGGAAGGTGCCGCGGGGGCACGGGAGGCAGGTGGAGGCGCCACAAGGCTTTGGGCAGGGGGCCTTCAGGTAGTGCCCTGTGGGAGCCAGACCCAGGTCAGAAGGTCAACGGGGGTTCCCACTTTCCCCTCCTTCCTCTCCTATCTCTGGCTCCCTACTTCCTCCCCGCCCCCACAGCCTCCCCGTGTCTCCTGACCCCGCCTGAACCCCATCTCCCTCTATCTGCCTGCACTTCCCCCCACACCCCTCCCGCCCCTTCAGCTGCGCACCGGCTGGACAGCCCTTGCAACAGAACAGACCGTTCCTCTTCTGGAAGTTGGAAGCACAGTCACACTTTGGACTGGGTGTGCCGCCCTGGCCCTGGGCGCCCAGCAGCACGAGGAGCAGGGCCTGGAAGACAGGTGGCTGCTGGCCACGCGGGGCCCCTCCCTGCCGGGTCTCCCCACTGCCGAGGTCCCCCACCGCGGCTGCCCTCAGAGCGGCCCTCTTCTCGGGTTCTGGAGCGGGAGGTGCCGTGGATGTGGGGTAAGGAGGCCGCCCTCCCCGGCGTGCAGAGCAGGGGAGAGAGAGGCAGAGAGCAGTCTCCTGCCCGCCCCTCTCTCTTGTTTCCCTCCGCCAGGGCACCAGGGGCAGGCACAGGGGGCCCCATCCTCACTCATGCTTTTTGTAAGGTGGAGGACCCGGATCCTTCTCTGCCTGGGGCCCCTAGACCCTTCTGGCCCCCCGCGCGGGGTTTCCTTTCAGCGGAAGGGCCCCGCCCGACTGAGCCTCTAACTAGCAGAGTCTCTAAGTCGAGAGGGGTTGGTGGTGGTGCTGTCACGCTTCCCCGCGAAGTGGGGCCCCTCGGTTCTTAGCGCAGCGACCCAGGCCTGGGGTCAGGCTCCGGGCTGTCCGCCCCCCTCCACCGTGCTCCCACTCACCGCGGCCACCGCGGCCGTGCAGCCCCCCAGCCGCAAGTCCATGGCTCCTGGCGCCTCGCTGAGCCCTCGGATGACAGGCGTGCGCCAGCCCGGGGGCTTCCCCCGCTCCGCCCGCTCTGTCCCAAGCCAGCCCCGGGGGAGCCCGCCTCAGGGGTGGGGGCCAGGGCGGGGCCCCCAGCCCACGCAGCCTGCCCCTGCGCACCTGAGCTCACCTGAGGCGGCCTGGGGGGCAGCAAGGTGCACACAGGACAGGGCAGCGTCCAGGTCCTCACACCTGGGTTCTAGCCCCAGCCCTGAGACTACCACTTCCAGCTGAAGTCACTTCCCTCCTCTGGGCCTCAGAGCCCTTCCTCAGCCGGGAGGGGCTGGGCCACAAGATGCAACTGGGAGACCCAGCCTCCCCAGAGACTGTCTGGGTGTGGGTACCGGGGCCCCGCCCCCGGAGGGGAGTCCCAGCGGGCATTCTCAGTAGAGCCTGAGACACATTGCCTGCCCTGGCATAAGTTTACGGGGACCACCCAGGGCAGGGCCCATGCGGCACCTCATGGGAGGGAGCACTTCATGGGGGGCCCTAGGGAGGACCTAGAAGCTGAGGCAGGAGATGGAGTTGATCTTGGGGTGCTGGTCTGGTCATCTCTGCCCTGTTAATTCACTAAGGCTTTTCCACAGTCTCCTCCAAGGGTCCCCTACCACAGACAGAGGGCGACAGGAGGGAGAGGCGCCTGTCCCCCCAGGTCAAGTGCACCCGAGTCAGGAAAGGGGCTGGTTCCAAAAGCAAAGAACTTCTTCCGGTAGTATATACAAGTCTTTATAAAAGAATCAAAAGCTCAATAAATATGCAACTTTACACAGAGCCCAGCCCAAGCCCGGGGCGGCCAGCGGGACTGGGAGGGAGGGAGGCGAGCACAGGAGAGCAAATGTCCCATTTGGGGCCAGAGGAGGGTGGGGGAGGGAAAGGCCACCGGGGAGCCCACCCCAGGGGGTTGGAGCTGGTGACTTCAGGGAGCAGCGAACAAGGGACCCTGCAGGGGTCGGGGGGGGGGGGGGGGGTTACTGAAGGTGGCCTTGGGGGTCCTGAGGAAGTCCTGCAGCCCGGGCCTGGAGCTCTGCTGAGCGCTCCTCCACCTCCATCCAGTCTGGCAAAGTGCAANCACAGGAGAGCAAATGTCCCATTTGGGGCCAGAGGAGGGTGGGGGAGGGAAAGGCCACCGGGGAGCCCACCCCAGGGGGTTGGAGCTGGTGACTTGGGGGAGCAGCGAACAAGGGACCCTGCAGGGGTCGGGGGGGGGGCGGGGACAGGTTAGTGAAGGTGGCCTTGGGGGTCCTGAGGAAGTCCTGCAGCCCGGGCCTGGAGCTCTGCTGAGCGCTCCTCCACCTCCATCCAGTCTGGCAAAGTGCAAATCGGGGGTCCGGCCCGGCTCTCCAGCTACTGTGCAGGCAGCAGCTGGAGCAGGGACCCAGATGCCCCAGAAGGCATGCTGTTTGCGGTCTCTCGGTCAGTGGCACCCTTGGGGGCCTCCCTCTGCTCAGACCTCCCTGCAAGAGAGAGGAAGGGAGAAGACAGTCTTTCCTTGGCCAATGCCACTTCCAGAGGGGCTCTGGGCACCCTCCCTGCCGCACTGGAATCCTTAGGCCCCTTCCCCACTACAGACGCGGCCATTCAGGCTCTGAAGCAGATCTCGGGCTCCCTTCTCCCATCCCCATCCCCTAATGCCACCTGCTCCCAGCCATGACAAAGCCCCTACCCATCCCCGGGGCTCAGTGCCCCCACTGCCAACACACTGGGCCACTAGCCCTCTACCCCAGGCCACTCACGAGGCAGTGAGCGTGGAGTTAAGCAGCAGGGTGGTCCTAATTCGGTACAGTTGGGCCAGTGTCAGCTTCCGGTGCTGGGCAGAGATCCCTGGGTGGGGCTCGGGCTGGATCCTGGGTGAGGTCCCCAAGGGCAGCTCTCTGCCCCTCCTGGGGGGTCTTTCAGGCTCCCCAGCCGGGCAGCTGGTTCTGCCCTCCAGCTCTGATGGCTTGGGGCCACTGCCGGGGCCGGGCGCCCCCCGGTGAACCCAGCTGGGCCCAGCTTCCCGAGGGGAGCCCTGAGTCCTCGTGCCAGAGACCGTAACGGCCAAGCAGAGTTCGGACAGACTGCGGCTGGGGGCCGGGGGCGCTCCGCAGGCGGTGGCCCCTGATAGCAGCTGGAGGAGACTAGCCTCAGATTTGGACTTGAGCAGGTGGGGCAGGCGGGGCAATAGCTGGACAGGGGTGCGGCGGCGGAGACGGGGCGAGGGTGGGGGCGAGGGGGCTTGTGGTGACTCTGGGGGCCGGGGCGCTGGCTCCGCCACAGGGGCCGGGGCCACAAAGTCTTGCAGGGAGGTGGGGGAGAGGGTGCCGTAGGCGGAGTCCACAGAGCAGGAGCGGCCATCCACGGGGCCGAGGGGCAGCAGCTCACTGGTGGGTGTGACCGACGAGGCAGTGGTGCTGAGAGAGGTCTCATCCGACTGGGAGCTGAAGGGGCCACCCTCAAACTCGGGAGAGGACAGCGGCTCCCCAGGCTCCACCACGACCATGGCCAGGGTCTCCGTGGAGCCGTCTGAGGCACTGTGGGGCCGGGAGGAGAGAGTCAGCCCAGCCCCAGGAGGCCTAGATGGCCTGGCGCAGCCGGTGCTCAGCAACGCGGAGGGCCACAGCCTCTGCCCTCCCGGAGCCTGAGGCTCAGACACGCACGCATGTGGCCTGTGACCCAGATCTCCCAACCCTGTGCTCACAGCATAGACACCCACAATGGTGTCTGTCACCACTACGCTCCTCCCTCCAGCTGGACACAGTGGAAGAATCCTCAGCTTAGGAGGGCCCGGGGGGCTTCGGGTGAGCGTCTGACTCTTGATCTCAGCTCAGGTCATGATCTCACGGTTCGAGAGTTTGAGCCCTGCGCCAGGCTCTGCGCTGGCAGTGCGGAGCCTGCCTGGGATTCTCTGTCTCGGGCTCTCTCTGCCTGTCCCCTGAGCGCATGTGTGCTCTCTCTCTCTCTCAAAAATAAACAAACGTTGAAAAAGAAAGAACCTTCGGCTCCGCTCCACCCAGCTAGCACAGGAGGATCAGGGTCGGCACTCAAGGTGAAAACCGTTTGCCGCCCCTGCCTGGACTCTGGTGGGAGACAGGACCCTCCCCTGCACACTGTGGCCACAGCGTGAAGCCATTTGGGGGGTGGGGGGGGGTGCCCGGGCCTGTGCCCAGCGTCAGTGGCCTTGGAGTCAGGAGTGCTGGGCCGGAGCCCCTGCGCTGCCCTGGCCCGCGAGCGGCCCCGGCGCGCGTACCAGTGCTGGGAGCTGAGACTGTTGCTGCTCTTGCGCAGGATGGTGGGGGAGCTGGCGGCGGAAGTGCTGCTCTCCCCGCCTTCCTCCTCGTCCTCGTCATCCTCCTCCTCTTCCAGGCTCTGCGGGTGCTGCTGGCTGCCTGGGTGCTCCTGGGCACGCAGCTGCTGCAGCTGGTTCTGCAGGTGGGGGAGGGGGTGGTGAGCAGCAGCCCCCACGCGACCCCCTGGCCACCCACCTGCCCACCACTCGGCTCTCACCTGGGCGTTGTAAATGGCGTCCAGCCAGCCACGGCACAAGGCCTGGCCGCTGGCCTGGAACGTGTAGGCCCCCACGGCGCTGTGCAGCTCGTTCAGGTGGATGAGGAGAAAGGAGCCTGGTGAGGAGGGGCTCCCATCAGCGTCAGCCAGGGCCACAGGCCCCGCCCGTCACAGCCCCCTCCCCCGCCCCCACCTCCTCACCAGGGTCTCGGAGCTCCCGGCACACAATCTTGTCCACCAGCAGTGGTGGCCGGATGACCTTGGTCCTCTCGGCCTTCTTCACTGCCTTGGTCACCAAGAGCAGGTCCGTAAAGAGGAAGCAGTACACGTCCATCTGGGGTGGGGGGGGGACAAGGGGAGCCGGCCAGGGCCAGGCATCAGGGCCAGGGTCTCAGGCCGGAAGCCTGTCTGCTGTGACACCCTCTCCTGGGTGGGGCCCCACACAAGCCCTTCCTGCCTGCACTTTGGGGACGTCATGGGGCCCTCAGATTTTGTCAAACACCCTCCCTGCTCCCTGCCCCCCACGAACCTGGGAATAAAATTAAAATGAAGGGCAAGTTGGAGCTACATACGTGCATTTTCATGGAGCTACGCGCTTGTCATTTATTTCAGTTAAGGGTTTACGTTAAAGAGAAAGAGGGAAGTGACTTGAAAACCACAATCTGCAGGCTCTGGGGTAAGCACCTGGGATTAACGGCTCAGGAGCAAGGCTCTGGGTTCTTCCTGGCCTGCTCCTGGAATGGGTCCCCTCCCTCCCACCGGGAACCCACACGGCAGCAGCACTGCTGCCCTATCTGTAAAGAGTAAATGGCAGGCAGATCCTCAGTCCTCATGAGACCAAAATCACTCCTTCCTGAATTGCCACCCACTGCCAGAGCAGCTGAGAACCACTCACTAGGGCCCAGAAGGTGCCCAGGATAGGTGGTCCAAACGCACAGGGCCAAGGGGAATGGGGAAGGGGCCCCGGGGCCTGGGGCAGCCCCTGGACTCACCTTGCTGTCCTTCCCCTCCTTCATCCTCAGGCTCCCCTCCAGCAGCAGCTGCCGAGTCTCCTCCGGGGAGGCGCCAGGGATGGGTGCTGTCAGGTCCAGATGCAGAAATTCCTTCAGGAGCTGGTGATTGAGGGCGGGGGGAGGGGGCAGGTGTAGGGAGGTCAGGGTCTGACTCCCCTTCTCGGCTGAGAGTCCGCACGGAAGGTTCCCAGCATAGGTGCCTGTCTGCCAGGTGGGCCCCTCCCCCATTCGGGCAGCGCCAGGGGTCCCCGCACAGACGGGCTCCCACCTTGTCCACCTCGTCGTTGCTGCCCTCCACCACCTCGTAGGCGTCGATGCGGCTCCCCACGGCCGCCAGCCGCTGCCGCTCTTGCCGCTGCCGCATGCACGCGTTCACGTGGTGGATGAAGCGCTCCACGGAGTCGATCTGCGGGGCAGGCGACGGAGGGTTCAGGGCCAGGGTCTGCGAGCCCCAGCGAGCTGAGCTGCGGAGGGACCCCACCCGCCGCCCCGGTTACCATGGTGACGACGGCCTCCTTGGCGCGCGGCTCGTCGGTCTTCCTCAGCACGGACTTGAGCAGCAGCGGGTACTTGGTGAGCCGCTGGTGGGGCTTGGCCAGCATGTCGCTCAGCTTCAGCCGCTGGCACTGCTGGTGCTTCTCGGCCCACTGCGGCGCGGGCGGGGGCGGGGCTCAGGGCGCGCCCCGCCCCCGGGCCCCAGGCCACGCCCCCCGCGCCCCGCGCCCCCCGCTGCCGGGGTGGGCCCACCGACCTGCATCCCGGCCACCCCTCACCGTGACGTAGGCCCGGAAGAGGTCGTTGTCGCGCAGCAGGCCGCGCATGTACTCCATGCAGCCCTCCTCCTCCATGCAGTATCGGATGTAGGGCTTGAAGAGGGAGCCGAACTGGCGCGGGACGGAACAGGCACGGTTACCGCGCGCTCTCCGCGGCCAGGCCCTGCGCCGGGAGCCTCACAGGCCCTCCCTTACTGCACTTCCGCAACCACCCCAGGGGGTGGCGAGTGTATCACCCGTTTCCAAAATGATCTTCCGCCAGGTAGGAAGGGCAGATGGCCAGGTGGGCTTCAAACCCGGGCGACCGACTCGGAATTCCTTGCCTCCACCACTAGGGGTCGTGTGGGGCCAGGGTCGGGGGAGGCTGGGGTGCTGGGCAGGCGGGATGGGCGCCCCAGCTCTGCCGCAGGGTCCCCGCCGGTGCCCGTACCATCTTGAAGCCTCTGAGGAAGTCGCCGGGCTGCATCAGCGCCCGCGTGCGTCGCGCCTTCTCCAGCACCGGCACCATCACGCTGCCCCACAGCCCGCGGTGCAGCCGCGCGAGCTCGGGGATGTTGCTGAACAGGCGCTCCGCCTCCACCTGGGCGGGGCGGGAGGTGCGCTCGGCCCCGCCCCGCCGGCCCCGCCCCCGGCCCAGCGTCCCGCCCCCGCCGGGCCCCGCCCCCAGCGGCAGGCCCCGCCCCAGCCGTCCCCACTCTTTCTTCCGCGCACCCCGCCCCGGGCCTGCCTCACCTCACACAGCAGCCCCGACTCTTGCAGGTTCAGGAGGCAGCAGAGGAAGAGCTGTGGGGGCAGGGAGCGCTGCAGCTGGGGGCGTGGGCGCGTCCCGTGCCCCGCCCAGGCTCTTAGGCTCACCTCCACCCCTCCCCTCCCAGGAGGCCCTGAAGCGGCCCGGGACAGAGCCGGTTCACCCCTTCGGGAGAGGCCCAGCCTCCGCTGCCCACCCGGGAGCCAGCCTGCCCGTCCCCGCCTGGAGGCGGGCGCTGAGAGTGAGCCCACCGGTCAGCCAACTTGGCAAACCGGCCCAGAACTTTCCTTGACCTGTTCTGCAAAGCCCCAGACCCCGTCCAGGGCCCCCAGAGGGAGGCTCCGGGGCGCAGGGAGGCAGGGTGCCGTCCCACACTCACGTTGGTGATCACCCTCAGTTTCTTGATGTAGGAGGCTTCTGTGTGCAGGAGCTCCCACACCGCCTCCTGCTGGTGGCACTGCCTCCGCGTCAGCTTCTGCGGGAAGTGCAGGGGGTTGGCCGGGAGTCCCAGAGGTGCCCGCATGGCCAGGAGGGGTGAGCCACCTTGCAGGCAACCTCCCTTTCCCGGGGAAACGCGAGGTCCCCCGAGTCCCGCGCCCTCCTCCGCCACTGAAACAGCCAAGCAACACACTGCGTGCTCCTTGCCTCAGTTTCCCACAGTGAGTTAAGGGGGACGGCCGTCTGGCGGGTAGAACACCTGTCGCTGGGTCCTTGGAAGGGCCCCGTCAGGCGGAGGGAAGTGTCCCCCTTTCCCTGAGGGCTGCGGCCGTGCCCACCTCATGCCCATCGATGAGCTCCCGCCAGCTGTCTTCCAGCCGCAGGCAGGCGTCTTCCTCCTCCTCCTCCTCGTCCCCCTCCCCCTCCCACGAGTCGTGGTCGAAGCGCAGCCTGCGGGGCAGCCGGGGCAGCCCGAAGAGGCCGTAGGCGTGCAGTTTGCCCTCCAGCTGCTCCATCTTGTCCACCTCCTGGAAGGAGACCGGCCGTTGGGGTCGGGGACGGCCCGCCAGCCGCCCTGCCCCAGGGCCCGCGGGCCCACATACCCGGCCAAAGGCGCTGGTGCTGGGGCCTGAGCTGAAGAAGCCGCTGAAGCGACTGGCTGCCCGGTTTTTCCAGCTGTCGCTGCCACCACTGGGCAGAGAGCAGCTGGAAGGCGTGGGGGCCTCCTGCCCAGGGATGCTCGTCTCCCCCAGGAACTCCGACATGTTCTTCCGGCGGCGGCCAGGGGCCTGGCCAGGGGATGGTGGTCAAGGCCAGGTGCCCCCTGGCTCCCGGAGACCTCACCCCACGGTGGGTTTCCAGGACGTCAGGGAAGCTGGGATGTGGGAGGGTCTCTGCACTCCCACCCCAGGATGCCACCTCTTCAGAGATCCACACTGCTCTGGGGGCTGGAAGATCCAGGCACAGATGCGTCTGGCCCACCGTCCAGCCCCAAGCACCACACAGCCACACGCACACTTCGGTGCCCTTATAAGCACAGCTCCAAATGGATGTGAGCACATGCGCACGTGCGCGCGCACACACACTCCTCGGGCACCAGCAGACTCCCAGAGACAAGACCCATTATCTTGGGGACCCCATCCTCACAGCCAGCTCTATTTTCCAGAAGGGGAAATGAAAGCCCGAGAGGAGAGGGCCCCAGCTGACCTCCCCTCTAAGGCCCCTCCCTGCCCCCAGCCTGACACAGCCTCTCACCAGGATATCTAGGCTCTCCCGGCGACTCTGGGGGTCCACGCGCTCCGGGGAGGGGGGCCGGGCCCTGGCTGGCCGCAGGATTGGCAGACTCAGGGACTTGGGGTCCTTCACCCCCTGTTCCACCTTCCCCTCTTCCCCCGGCTTGGCTGGGGCAGCAGGAGGGGCAAAGAAGGGTCCTCAGCACCCAGGAGGAGGGGACCGCAGACCTCTCTCTCCTGAGGATCCCGACCAAGGCCCAGCTGCCCTCCCCCGAGGCCCCGCCCGGCCGGCACCCATTGCCAGGGCCCAGCAGAGACACCTGTATGGTAATGAGCAAGCTCAGGGCCATGGCCAATGGGAATCTGAGCCTGGGAAGCAGCAGCCACCCCCGGGAGGCCCAGCCAGGCCGCAGCCACCCTGCCCGCCAGGCTCACGGCTCACCTTTGACCCGCAGGTAGTGTCCCCCGAACCTGTAGGCCTCGAAGGTGAGGGAAAGGGGTGTGTTGGATTGGTCCAGGTAGATCTCCACTTTGCCCAGTGTGATGCCCTTCCTTTCAAATACCGGCAGCAGCACCTCCCTGCCCCAGGATGGGAGGTGTGGATGTTAGGGGGCAGGCACACCACCCCCCACCCTCTGCATGGCCCCAGCTCCACCCCACCTTACCAGTGGGAAAGGGAGCCACCCACAGGATCGTACACAGGTACAAGGACACACAGGTGTGCCTACTCCCACACCTGCCCACAAAGGTTCACAAGCTCCTACGTGGGCCTACACGCAAGCCAGGGCTCTCAGGCCCTCACGCTTCCATGTTTGCACACCAGGGCAGACATGGTCACGTGCTGGTCCACATCCAGGAACTGGGCCACACATACACATGTTGGAAGCCCCAGGCGGGTCTGCTCACTCACACCACCACACAGACACACAGTTACGCCTGCCACACAGACACACAGTTACGCCTGCAAGAAGCCCCGACCCCCACCCCCAGCCCCACTCCCCCTGCCTCGGCCCCACCTAGCCCTACCCCAGCGACTTCTTCTTCATGGCTGGTACGATCTCTGTCTCAATGTCCACATTCAGGTCAAACTTCAGGGTGAAGCACTCCTTGCTTGGGTCCTGAAAGGGCGTGGGTCTCAGCTTCTGCACCCCTGGTCTCTGACCCTCCCCCGCACCAGGGTGCAGGATGGGAACCCCAGCATGGGAGTGAGCCCGGGGATCTCCCCAGCCTGCCCCGGTCCCAAGGAGGCCCCCAGTGTCCCTCTCGCCCGAGGGAGGAGTTGCTGTAGCATCTCCCATCCGGCGCAGGTGGGCAGTACTGGGCTGCAGGGCAGGCTGGCCAGGGCGGGACCCACTCGCTCCAGGCCCCGTTCCTAGTACTGGAGCTGAGGGCAGACAGGCCCAGTCTTGGGGACGGAAAGGAAAGGGCCCAGGAAGGGCGGGGGCTCCTTACATCTGTGTGTCTCCTCCTTGCCTTCTTGGAGAGTTTCAGGCCTGTGCTCTTCCGGTCCCTGCAGGCCAGAGGGCAGAGGTTGGAGGCATGGGTGGGCCCGCACCAGGGTGGGATGTGAATAGGCTCTGGCTGGTTGCCCGCTCTTGGCTAACCCCAGTGATCAGGTACTAACTCAGGTGCGGCTCTGGCAGGCCAGGGCCCACGAGGGGCTGGGCGCCCTCTGGTGGCCAACCCAGGAGTCACACCCAGTGGTCCCTGGTCAGGAGGAGTCTGTTCTACGGTGTTGGAGGCTGGCCCAGGCTGGGCCGCTTCCTCCAGGAAGGAATCAGGGCATCCACAGGGGCATGGAGGGGTCTCCAGTCAGGTCCTCGGAAGCCTCTGGTCCCTGGATCTCTGATCTGAGATCCGGCGTTGGGATCCCTCAGGTGTCCGCTTTGACCACCTACCCTTTGCCATCCATAGAGCTTTCCTCTTCCTCCTCCAGGTCCAGTGCAGGGCTGGTGCGTGGGGGGCATGACCGGGTAGACACGTTCCTGGCCAGGACAGAGCCTTTGGGGTAAAGTGGGAGGAAAGGTCACGCCTGTTCCCTCCCTGGCTGCCACTTAGCCTGCTACCGATCCTGGGAAGGCCCCACCCCCAGACGAACTAGGGCCCTTCAGGTCTGTGTAGAGAGGAGCTCAGTCGCTGCTCATCATCCATCCGTCCCTAGACTCAAAAGGACACAACCGCCCTGGGATGACATCCCAGGTGATGCCCTGCCCCCAAACCTGTGGCCTCAGTTTACCCTTCTATAAAATAGGGATGGGGCGCCTGGGTGGCTTAGTCGGTTAAGCATCCGACTTTCGCTTAGGTCATGATCTCGCGGTTCGTGGGTTCGAGCCCAGCGTCGGGCTCTGTGCTGACTGCCAGCTCAGAGCCTGGAGCCTGCTTCAGATTCTGTGTGTCCCTCTCTCTCTGACCCTCCCCTGCTCACTCTGTCTCTCTCTCTCTCTCTCCTAAAAATAAAAATTAAAAAAACATAAAATAAATAAAATAAAAAATAAAATAAAATAGGGATAAGGAAGCCCTGTCTCTGGGAAATGTTGCAGGAAAGGACCAAAGTCTATGGCTCTTTCTCTTAGGCCTCCTCTCCCCGCCCCCAACACCACTGTGAACACACCCAGAATCCCAGCAGGCAGAGGGGGAGAGTCGTTTTGTCCCTCTGACCAGCTAAAAAGGGGGACAAAGGGTTGGCATTTCTGGCCAGGCTCAGATGCCTGTAAGTCACCCCAGCACAGCCCGTTGGTGCTGGGCCTGGGCCAGGTCCCCATTCAGCAGGAGGGTTTTTGGTTCCCTTCTACAAGCTCCTCTGACCCGCCCCCGCCCCCGCCCCCGCCCCCGCCCCCGCAGGCCCTGCTTGCCAGCAGCCTGGCTGGAGGACTGGAGGATCTGCCCAGCAGTCCCCTGCCCGGAGGAAAAGGAGAAGGGGGTCTTTTCCATGCTGGCCCGGGGCGAAAGGCACAGGGAGACGCAGACCCAGGAAGAAGGACCCCGAACCCGGGAGAGACAGGCCTGCTCTTGACATGGGGCACAGTCCCCCAACCTTTTCTCTTGTTAAAAAACTTGTAGCACAGAAGGGGCCACAACATACTTGGGTTTCATGATTTACAGTTAACTCTTGTTCTTTTTTTTTTAATGTTTATTTATTTTTGAGAGAGAGAGAGACAGAGCGCGAGCAGGGGAGGTGTGGAGAGAGTGGGAGACACAGAATCTGAAGCAGGCTCCAGGCTCTGAGCCATCAGTACAGAGCCCGATCCGGGGCTCAGTCTTCTGGACCGTGAGATCATGACCTGAGCCAAGTCGGCCGCTTGGCCAACTGCGCCGCCCAGGCGCCCCGACTCCTGTCCTTCTGATGGGCCTGTTACAGCTCCAACAGTTACCAAGACACTGTGCCCCTGGACAGGCAGTCGGGGGCTGCTCTGGGAACTCTCCGCGCCAGGCCGGGTCCCTACCCACGCTCACCTTGTGGAGGCAGGTCGAAGCGGACGTGCCCGTCATAATGCATGGCGCTGTGGAACTTGCTGTCACAGGCCTCGCAGAGGTTGAGGGGCCCCCGGCGGTGCAGCTGCTGGCAGTCAGCGTGGTGGCATACCTTGCGAGGCCGGAGGGAGAGGCGGGTCGGACTGGGCCCCCACAGAGCGCCCCCCCCGACCACCGCGGGGCACAGTGGGGCTCCTGGTCGGTCCGAGGACTGCTCTTCATTTTCCGACGGTCCATTCCCCCCAGGGGGCCCCAGGCTCATTAATTCACTCTGCAGCCGCTTCCCAAACTCCCCTGTGTGTCCACTCTGAGGGGCGCAGAGAAAAGCACACCCCTGCCCTAGAGGAACGGACGGTGGAGGGGAGACTGCCTGTAAAGAACCACGAGGCAGTTGCCACCAGGGCCCTTTCCTGGGGCGCAGGCAGGAAGGGCACCCCGAAATGCTCAGGGCTGCCGTGTGCTTCCGCCAGCTCAGTGTTGGAACCGGCAACCCCCTCCTGTCCTCCCTCCAGACCCTCTGCTCTTACGTTCTGTGACCTGTCTGGCCCCTGCATGGCCAACCTCGCATGGGATGGAGGGGCGTCAGGGGGAGTCAGGGAAAGGCGCTGGCAGTCTGGGTGCTTGGGCACTGCCCCCCCCCCCAGCCCCCCACCAGCACTCACTGTATTTACTGTGCAGCCCGTACACATTCTCCCCCAGCCCTGTGGGTAACTGCCACATCTTCTCTGCCCTTCGGCTCCCACAGCCTACCTCTGACCCCTCTGCTGCCCACTTTCCTTGTGCCCCTGGGAACCGACAGGTCCACCTGCCTGCCCCGCACTGGGGGCTTTCCAGTCCCGGCCACCTCCCGGCGAGCCCTGCCCTCCCCTACGGCATCAGGCTCCCAGTCTATTGGCTCAAGACAGGGTCTTCCCCCTCTCCACCTGCGGCTCCATTTTTCTCATTCCCTTTCAGCGAAAGAAAACCCGGTGGAAGAGGTCTCCATCCTGACCACCTCCTGGTGTTCCCTCCCGGTTCTCGTTCGCGTATTTTCCTGACTTCCCATTTTTAAATATTTCAAACCTATGGAAAATTGTAAGATCGGTATAATGACATCCACACACGTTCCTACCTTCCCCCGTCGTGAACACTTTGTCACACTGGCCTCCTCTGTCATCTCCCCCTCCCCTGGCGCAGAAGAGCGTGGGTGTTCTCCCATGAACGGGCACCCGCGGGAAACAGCGTTGGCATATGATCCTTCCAAGGTCTACATTTGCATTAGCCTGCCCGTCTAAACCATGGCCTTTATAGATTATTTCCCCTATGGGAGCCAATTCAAGATTTGCACATGCGTTCTTTGTATCTGTTTATCCCTTTAAGAAAAAGTTCTCTGCACTTTTTGTTTTTTCTTTCATCACCCTGATGTCTTGGAAGCATTCGAGCCAGCAGTCTGGGAGAAAGCCCCTCCACGGAGATCTTTCTGGAGGTCCTTGGGTGGTTTCAGGCTGAGCATTTGGGGCAGCGACACGAGAGAGTGGACTGTGCCCTCCTCGGTGCTGCTCCAAGTGGGTCCCTTGGGGGCCTCGCGGTACAGCGTAAAGAACCTTCTCCTCTTTGTAATGAATAAGTAGCCCGTGGGGAGATACTTTGAGACACCCTGTTCCCGGCAATCTCACACTCCAGGGCTTTCACATCCACAGGTGACGTCTGCCTCAATCAAACATGACTGCAACAGTCACAACAAAGATGATCTACTTCTTCTCTTCCCTCTCAGACCCTCTCATTTTGGGTCCCCACCATGTTTTGTTTTTTTTAAATAACTTTTTAAGTTTTTTTTTTTTTTTTTTTTGAGAGAGAGAGGGAGACAGAATCCCCAGCAGGTGCAGAGCCTGACACGGGGCTCAAACCCGCAAACCGTGAGATCGTGAGCAGAAGCTGAACGCTTAACCAACTGAGCCGCCCAGGCGCACCCCCCACCTCCCGAACCGTTTCTAGGTCCACTCGTAGGAGCCAGACTGCCACAGGTGGCCCCTTGCACGCCACCTCCTCCGTGGTCCCCGGGGCCCCAGGCTCTGCTGCGGCCCTCGGCCCCCTTGCCTGCCTCCCGCACCTGTTTCTCTGCATCCCATCCCCTGCGGACCCAGCATCTCGTGACCCAAAAAGCTGTCTCGTGCTCAGGGCTCCCGGGGGTACATCTTCAGTCGGGTCCTCGCCCAGGACAACCTTCTCCATGCCCCCCTTGGGTTCCAAGAAATACCTCCAACTGCACCTCGGCCAATGGCAGGGCCTTCCCGTGGCGTGGGGAGTACGGGTTGGATTGTGTCCCTCAAAAAGACAGGTCAAGGCCTAACCCCCAGTACCTCGGCATGTGACCTCATCTGCAAACAGGGCTTTCGCAGACGCCTTTAGTCGAGATGAGGTCACACTGGAGTCTGTCACCATGGAGCGTACGGGGCAGTCCCGTGACCGGGGTCCTTACACACGCAGAGCAGAGGCAGAAAGAGCGACACGTGGGAATGAGGCAAGCGGCTACTATACCCTGTGGATCTCCACATGTGAGAGAATAAGCTTTCCGCCCCATCGGGGTTCACTGTCACTGCAGCCCCAGGAAACGAATACATTAGGCCCAAATCCCAGGGGTCACCTCTCACCTTTCTGTGACACCCCCATCCAGTCAGTGGGACAATGAGTGTGGCTCTCCCTTCAGGGTCTGTAGCTTCAACCCGGCCATGCTCATTAGCCCACTGCTGCCCCCTGGTGGGCATCCCAGTCACCTCTCAGAGTGACCTCAGAACAAGTCTCTGCTCCCATCTGCCCTGCACCCTGTTCTCCGTGAAGGGCCAGAGTGGCCCCTGTTCAACCAGGAGTCACATACGCCTCCTCAAAACCCTCACCGGCTTCCTATCTCACTCCAGTAAAAGCCAGAGTCCTGTATGGTGGTTGTGGGGCGGGGAGAGTAGGGGGTAGCGAGGCCTCCTGCCCGGCCCTCCCCTCCCGCCTCACCCTGCTCCACTCGCCACCCCTGGCTTCTTGGACATGCTGCTTCCAGTGTGCTCCCCTCCAAGCCCTGAGCAGCTGCTACTCCCTCAGCCTGGAATGCTCTTCCCCAGCCACAAGTGACAGCCCTTTAAAGTCACTGCCCCTCCTTGAGGGTGCCTGGGTGGCTCGATCTGACTTTTTACTATTATTTACTTATTTTGAGAGAAAGAGAGCATGAGCAGGGGAAGGGTGGGGGAGGGGGGTGGGGGGGAGAGTATCCGAACCAGGCTCTGCGCAGACAGCACAGAGCCCGACGTGGGGTTCAAACTCACAAACCACGAGATCATAACCTGAGCCAAAATCAGACACATAACTGACTGAGCCACCCAGGCGCCCACCCCCTCCCCCGCCAAGCTACCGACTCTTGATTTGGGCTCAGGTCATAATCTCACGGTTAGTGGGTTCAGGGTCTGCGCTGACAACGCAGAGTCTGCTTGGGCTTCTCTCACTCCCTCTCTCTCTGCCCCTCCCCCGTGCATTCTCTCTCTCTCTCTCTCTCAAAAATAAATAAAAAAACTTAAAGAACAACAACACTTTAAAGTCAACGCCCCTCCATACTCCCTGTCCCCTCGGTGTCCTTTCCGCCATGGACCAGCCTCTTTCGCTCTGCTGCCCCCCCAGCTCGCCAGCCCTGCAAGGTCAGTGATTTTAGTCTGTCCGACTCACTGCCGTTGCTCGGCTCCCAGCCACTCAGTGAATACTTGTTCAGTCTGTTCATCAGGGTGATGGAGGGTCACTCAAAGGCTTTTGTCTGGGGAGAGCCGGGTCAGAGGTTCTCAAGGTGCCAGATGGTGAGGATAGACGGGCTGCAGACAGCAGAGGAAGTAGCCAAAGGGAAGGAGAACAAGTCTGATGTCTATAATGGGGTCGCCGTGTGCCCGGGGCTGCGCGGAGGGCTCCTCGCCCCAGGAGGCAGGGGCCACGACTGCCCCTATTTTACAGAGGAGGAGAGCGAGCCTCAGGGGGGTTTCGAATCACTTGCTGGAGGTCACACAGCCAGTGCAGCCAGGACTTGAACCCAGCGTGTGTAGCTCCAGCTCCTAGATTTCCAGCACGTTCACCCCGTCTATCTCCTGGGTGGCTGAGAGGCAGAGAGGAGCGGCGGGGGGAGGGGGGGCAGGGGGAGAGCTGGCCTCGGGGGCAGCAGTCTGGGGGGAACGGAGGCAAGAGGAAGCAATCATAGTCTGATGCTGACTGTCTGGGCTCCTGTGTCCTCCTCCCAGGCCTCCATCAGAGAGGAAACCAACAAAGCCACCCAGAAACATGGGCAGAGAAGCGACAGCCAGCAGGGGGCGGGCTGAGGCGTCCTCCGGCCCCGGGGGACTGACCAGGGGGTCACGGCAGCCCTGTGTGATAGACATCACGGCCCAGACTCCCAATGGCAGCCTGGGAGCCAGGTGCTCCCGACTCCCACACCCTTCTCAGGGGTCTTCAAGGGTGTCCTTGGGGCTTTGGGCAGGGGTGAGGGGCACCTGTTGCTGTCTTCACTTCACCTACTAAACTGTGACAACCACTATGCCCTACCTGATGGAAGTCAGCACCAGCGCTGCCGATTCTGGAGCCCCCCACCCCCGCCCCTGCCCCGCTGCAAGCATCTCCTCTTGACGGTGACTCTGGGGAAGGCCAGAGTAGCTCCTTCTTCCCAGAAGCCCCACAGTCTACCAGCCAGGCAGCCACCCCCCCCCCCCGCATCCAGCCTGGCACAGACGCCCCCTCCCACCCTGACGGCTTCCCCTGCTGGTGCCCTGGCACAGAGCGGTGGGGCCGCAGGCCTGCAGGTTACCCAGGCCCTAGTCTCATAGTGGGTGGGAGGTGACCTGGCAGGGGCCATGCTGGGTTGGAGGGTCCTGGGGGGAGCCTCGGGGACCCTTCCAGCCCAGGTCCCTGGCTCTCTGCCGCAATCCTGGTTTTAAACCAATCTAATGTACAGGCAGCGGATTTTACACAAGGAGTCACCTTGTGACTGACAGCAGATTCAGGACTCAACAAACATTTATTGAGCACCTACTGGGCGCCTGCCCTGTGGAGGCCCTGGTCTCCCTGAGACACTCGGAGGATTCATTTCCCAGCTCTGTGCTAGGCTCTGGCGAACTC